GCAGGGGAAATTTCCCCTTTGAAATAGAAAAAGAAATTGAGGACACAGAGTCTTCAATCTCTTTTTCTGCCGCCTCTATTATAAATGTATGGGAAGCACTCAGTACAGAGGCTTCCCATTCATTCAGAAACTGGTGATAGTAAAATGTTTACTATCATCCAGTTATCAATGTGTAGTAATCTGTAGTGAGTGCTTCCACCCATTGAGAAATTCATGAGTGAACAGGAAGTTATGTAAAGCACTTCCTGTTCATTCATAACTGGGGACACACTATGTGTCCCCAGTTATTTGCAAATACTGGAGTGATCAGCTGATTGCTCCAGTGTTTGCTCTGCACAGAGGATCAGTAAATATCACAGATACATACAGGCGGGGGAGAGCTGGAGCCTGTGTTGCCCCTCTTCTCCCTGCCAAGCTGTGGCTGTGTTGGCCACCTGGTGCCCCTGTTGCTATGGCGCCCTGTGCTCGCCGTGGCAATAGGGGCGTGGGGGCGCAGCCAGGTAGGCCCTGGCTGCGCCCCTTCTCAGCTGCGCCTGAGGCGAGTTCTTCACTCGCCCCATGGTAGCTACGGCCCTGCACTGTGTATAGGACAGGAGGACGCCAAGGGACATACATACACTGCCATCGCTGCAGCATAGGAGGAAACAAGCTGGAGGGAGTGGGCTGTGCGGGCTCTCGGGTGGGCTGTGCGGGCTCTCGGGTGGGCTGTGTGGACTCTCAGGTGGGCTGTGCGGACTCTTAGGTGGTCTGTGCTGACTCTCAGGTGGCTGTGTGGGGTCTCAGGTGGGCTAAGCAGGTTCTCAGGTTAGACTCTCTTGTGTGCTAAGTGTGCTCTCAGGTGGCTGTGTGGGGTCTCAGGTGGGCTATGTGCACTCTCAGGTGGGCTAAGCGGGCTCTCAGGTGGACTAAGGGGGCTCTCAGGTGGCTGTGTGGGGTCTCAGGTGGGCTATGTGCACTCTCAGGTGGGCTAAGCGGGCTCTCAGGTGGACTAAGGGGGCTCTCAGGTGGCTGTGTGGGGTCTCAGGTGGGCTATGTGGACTCTCAGGTGACTGTGTGGGGATAGAGTGTTGAAGTGCAAAGGGAAGGTTGAGTGCATGGCTCACCTAATTCACACTGACAAGGTGTTTAAGTATTGTATATATTCTATATTCTATATAAATAAAATAGTGAACCCGCCAAGCGATGAATCACACAGGGAATGACACGGCTTTCCCCCTCAGGAGTTCTATTTTACAAACGTAGCACCAGAAGCAGGGAATTTGGCTATCAAAAACGTAGTCCTACCGAGTCACAGCCCATTACCACAACCCCTCAAGTGCCCACAGCCACGTACCTGTAGCTGCCCATGAGAGCATTGAGACTCTCACTGACAGCCGCACGCTTCTGTCAGTGTTCTGTTGATTGCGCCCATACAGCAGAGGATCCTCCTCCCTGCACTCAACACCAGGACCCGGGGTCGCCCCTGTCAGCCTGAAATTGTGGCATCTTGTGTCTGGGGCTCAGCTGGCCTGAATCCCTGAAACAAGATTCCAAACCCAGACTGTCCGGGTGACAGGTGGCAACCCTACAAACGCTCCAAAAAGGAAAAAGACTAAATTCTACTGGTGTATGGCCATCTTTAGTCCCTGTGCACACCTAGGCATTTTGTTCAATAAGCTTCTTATTGGCAGATTACAGTGATTTTTGGGCGCATAGACTTCAATGGGAAACTTTGTGCGATATAACGCTCCACAAAACACTCAGGTCTGAACAGGGACCATAGAAATGAATGGTATCCCTCAGAGCCCGAGGCAAAAACAAAAAATTGTGCCCTCCCAACAGGTCTGTAATGTCACCCGACGCAGCACCATGTGACATTATTATTTTTTTTACTGTTGGAGGGACTTTGGAGAACTATCAGGGATTTGAACAGACCCCTAACATTTACCTTTTGAAATAGAAAAAGAAATTAAGGACACAATTTCTTTTTCTGCAACCTCTGTTCTAAATGATTGGAAAGCACTCAGTACAGAGGCTTCCCATTCATTCAGAAACTGTTGATAGTAAAACATCAACCAGTTTCTGAATGGGGAGAAGTCTCTGTAGTGAGTGCTTCTCGCTATTAAAAGAGTCATGAATGAACAGGAAGTTATGTAAAGCTCAGTACGGCTGATTTAAAGCCGTACATCGGCTGAAATCAGCCGTACATCGGCTGCCTTCGGCTGCACTTAGGTCAGCTGAACATGCTCTGCAACATGCTCTCCAACATCTGGACCGGCTGAGCCGAAGTTTCGGCAGATCACTCGCTGCCGTTCGCCCCTATTCTCATAGGGGCCGAATGGCAGTGAGTGAATAGCCGAATACCGCTGAGCAGGGCCGAACTGGCCATAGGGCAAACCGCTGCTAAGGAAGAGAAGACTGCAAGAACAAGGTATGGTCAGGGATTCCCTCTCCCTGCCGCCCCAAGGCCAGATTCCGCAAATTTTTTTTATTGTTTTTTTTTCCCTTACTTTTATTACCAAAATTACTTTTTTTTTATTTATCTTAACATTTATTTTTTTATTATAATTTTTTTATCTTATTATTGTTTAAAGCAGGTCCCGGCTAATGAATAACAACTGGGCTTAGTCGGCCATGTCATCACTTCCGGGTCCGGCCAGTTGTTATTGTTTAATGAAAGTTCAGCATCGCCAGGTCATTTGGGGACGCTGATCTGTCATTATAACTGGGCGGAGCCAGCTGTGAGATCACCCTGTTTCGGCTGACACTTCGGATCAATCGAGCAGAAGCAAATGCCTTTGGCTCGGCTGAGCCACTCGGCCGCCTTCGGCTGCTGTAAAGGGCTATTGTGAATAGCCCGTACAGCAGACCTTCGACTGCAACAGAAGGGCTTCGGCAGTCGAAGAGAAAGCTGAAGCTACGGCTGGAACCTTTGGCTCCTCTGTGAATAACCCAGTAAATAATTAAATAGATAATAAATAAAACCTAATATTGATGGACTCTTGGGTGCAGCACCATGCACGGAGCCCCAGCTAAGTTCCACATATTCCTGGAAGTGCATGTGCCAATGCATGGCATTGTGTAGCCTTCGTTAGGGACTACAAGTCCCATTAGTACGCACTCACACAACGCATTACTTTCAACACTGAAGGTGGCCAAAGGAGGATGGGAGGGAGCGCATACACTGATTAATGCATATTACGAGCCTTTTTCCAACAGGAAGGCAAACAGTGGACGGTCTAGATGGAGGAGAAACCTGCACATCACAATTGCTGACACGTCCTTTCTGTATTTGAAAAGCATTTGCATAGGTAGTTTGGGATTTCAAAAGGCACTCATCGCACACATATTTAAAGGAGAACTATGGGGTCAGGGCTTTTCCCCATAGTTCTCCTAAGGGTAACGGGAGGACAAAAACTAGAGTCCTCCCGTCACCCAAAGCTCAGTATGTAGCTTGCGGTGTACTGAGACGCCGCAGCCGGGACGGATCCCGACATTACTGTCTGGATCCACCCAGCTGCGTGAGTGACAGCTAACTCTGCCTATCTAGAGGCCAGCCAGCTGTACCCCGCCTGTTCCGCCAGTCAACGCTGAAGGATCGGACAGGGGGGGAATCCCTGCAGGGAGCCGTGAGTGACAGTCATAGCTCTCTGCAGGGACAGGATCGAGAAGTGAGCGAGCAACGTTATGTGTTCGCTCACTTCCCGATCTATTGTGACAGTTTCATTGTCACAGGTCGGCTAGAACATAGTTCTCCTTCAACAACTTCAAAAATATTTAAGCTTTATTGATAACAAAAAACAAAACGTCCTTTCTGTAGGTATGCTTGGGAGCGAGCA